CCTGAGATATAGAACCATGCATAGTCATGTAAATACTGACTTTCTGCAGAAAGTTTGTGCCATCTACTTTTCTTTTGCTCTTATCATTTTAACCGTTCTGTTGATGCAGTTGTCTATCCTATCTGGGCCTTTTTCTACCCTGTGTTTAAAATTTCACTAACAATTCAATTGATTTACTAAAGGGGCAGATCACATTCACTTTACAAATGACATTTTTACTTAGTGAATGAAGTGAAATTTCACTCTGCAAAGAATACCCAAACATTCCTAGATTGTAAGCTCGAAAGAGTAGGGCCCTCTTACCCCTTGTGTACTGTTTGATGTTACTGTTGTGTTTCATGTATTGTCCCCCCTCTATTGTACAGCGCTGAGCAAACCCTTTGGTGCTATATAAACTCGATAAATAAATAAATAAATAAATAAACATGTGCAAGGAAATTAAAAAAAAAAAGCATTTTTTTCTCACATGTGATTGGATGGTCAGCATGACTTCACCTTAGGCTAAATGAAATTTCATCTTGCAAATTAAACATGCATTATTCCTTTAGTAAATTGATTCCACATAATATGGCAGGATGAGTGAAAGAAAAATTTATCCTGCTCTTTCCTTGCCAGGAACCACTATGAACACGCCACACAAATTTATAAATAGGAAATATGAGACTACTGTGAAGGGAATTTCCTACTGTTCATGTATGGGATTTTTGATATGTGCAAAAGAAATTGATAGTATCTATCTACCATCTTCTCATTCCCACCAAGATTACACCTATAATGTTAAAAAAAAAGGGTCTGTATACAGGTAAGGACCAGTTTTATCTCCAGATATAACATTAGGCAGACTACAGGTTGCTTGCTTTAACTGCTTGCTGTATGCCCATTGCCATAATAAACAACGGATGGGAAGCAGTGGCAATGTGGCTAATGTATCTGTACGCCAGCCCACATCGGTGGACCCTGCGCAGCACACAGAGTACGCATCAGGAGCCCGCTGATCTGTGTGCCAGCTGGACATAGCATATCACATTACTGCTCTGTCCGGGTAAACACATGGTGTGTCCAACAACAGAAAGTGAAAGTAAAGATTGGTTCTCTCTGCTCTCACTGTGAGAGCAGAGAAAACCAATGCAGCAGCCTGTGAGTGTACAGTAGCCTGTCAGACTCCATGTACGCTCACAGACTGTTGTGCCAGCAACAAAAGTATTCCTGCCATACGCCGTACACCATATCAATGTCCTGATTATCACCATACCAGTGTGCTGATCATTGCCATACCCCATAGCAGCACCATGATCAATGCCATGTGCCATACCAGCTCCCTGAGCACCACCCTATGCCATAACAGTGCACTGATCTCCACCATACACCATACCAGCGCCCTGACCACTGCCATACACCATAGCAGCACCCTGATCACTGCCATTCCCCATACCAAAATCCTGATAACCGCTATATCCCAAAACAGCGTTCTGATAACCCCATATGCCATACCAGCATCCTGATCACTGCCATACCCCTTACAAGCATCCTGATTACCGCCATACCCTATACCAGCATTCTGATCACCGCCATACCCCATACCAGCATTCTGATCACCACCATGCCCCATACCGTCGTCCTGATCACCGCCACACCCCATACCAGCATCCTGATCACCACCATGCCTCATACCAACATCCTGATCATCGCCATACCAGCATCCTGCTCACTGCCATACCCCTTACAAGCATCCTAATCACCGCCATACCCCATACCAGCATCCTGATCACCGCCATACCCCATACCAGCATTCTGATCACCACCATGCCCCATACCATCGTCCTGATCACCGCCACACCCCATACCAGAGTCCTGATCACCCCCATACCTCATACCAACATCCTGATCATCGCCATACCCCCCATACCAGCTTCCTGATCACCGCCATACCTCATACCAATGTCCTGATCATCCCTGCCATACGCCGTACACCATATCAATGTCCTGATTATCACCATACCAGTGTGCTGATCATTGCCATACCCCATAGCAGCACCATGATCAATGCCATGTGCCATACCAGCTCCCTGAGCACCGCCCTATGCCATAACAGTGCACTGATCTCCACCATACACCATACCAGTGCCCTGACCACTGCCATACACCATAGCAGCACCCTGATCACTGCCATTCCCCATACCAAAATCCTGATAACCGCTATATCCCAAAACAGCGTTCTGATAACCCCATATGCCATACCAGCATCCTGATCACTGCCATACCCCTTACAAGCATCCTGATTACCGCCATACCCTATACCAGCATTCTGATCACCGCCATACCCCATACCCCATACCAGCATCCTGATCACCACCATGCCTCATACCAACATCCTGATCATCGCCATACCAGCATCCTGCTCACTGCCATACCCCTTACAAGCATCCTAATCACCGCCATACCCCATACCAGCATCCTGATCACCGCCATACCCCATACCAGCATTCTGATCACCACCATGCCCCATACCATCGTCCTGATCACCGCCACACCCCATACCAGCGTCCTGATCACCCCCATACCTCATACCAACATCCTGATCATCGCCATACCCCATACCAGCTTCCTGATCACCGCCATACCTCATACCAATGTCCTGATCACTGCCACACCCCATACAAACTTCCGGCATTTCCGGGTCTCAACCAATCAATTTTCAGATATATATCCTGTAGTTTGTAGACTATAACTTTCCAATAGACTAAATAATGTACACTGTTTTGGGTTATTTTTTACCCCAAAAATGTAGCAGAATGCTTTTGGCCTAAATGTATGAAGTAAGATTTATTTGCAAAATTGTATAACATAAACTAAGCAAAAAATATTTATTTTTTTTCAAAATTTTCTGTATTTTTTCATTTATACAGCAAAAAATAGAAAACCCAGTGGTGATTAACCATTTGCCGCCCGGCCAATGGCCGTTTGGCGGCTTCAAAGTTGCTTCTCCACTCCGGGTGCACGCCATTTGGCGTGATCCCGCACATGCGCCGTTTGCGCTAATGCAGAGCGGCGCAGCGGCTCGATCTGTCACCGGGCGTGTACCTCGGACATGGCCGATGACAGATCTGAGTACCGGCCCCCGTTGCAGGTACCATGTGACCTGCTGTGACCAATCACAGCAGGTCACATGACAGTTGTATACAATGGATGGCTTCATTCATGATGCCATCCATTGTATACTAGTGCCTAGCTGTGAATGGTCACAGCTAATCACATGCACATGTCATGTCATTAGCTGTGACCAAATCACAGCTAAGCACAAAAAAAAAAAAAAAAGCTGAATGAATCGATTTCATTCAGGTAAATGCTTGCTTATAGCAAAGTATTTCTTTGCTATAAGCAAATTGTGTAAAAAAAAAAAAAAAAAAAAAATACTGATCACTTCCCCAATGTAGTACAATGTTACTATGGTAACATTGTACTACTTTGGTCATAGTAAAATATGAAAAAAAAAATGTTAAAAAAAAAAAAATAAAAAAAAGTAATAAAAAAATTAAAAAAATAAAAATTTTTTTTAAAAAAAAAATATATATATATTTTTTTCATACTGTCACCAGTCAGTGTCCCTGTTCACCGCCATGCCAGTTATATGATGACGCTGTACTGCACTGGTGACAGTATGTAAAAAAAAAAATAGTGAAAATAATTTTTTTAATTTTTTAATTTTCCGAAAAATTATGACAAAAAAAATACAACTTAAAAAAACTCGCCATGCCTCTTATAAAGTACGTCGGACTGTCTACTCTGCAAAAAGGGGTCATTTGGGGGATATCTGTACTATTCTGACATTCTTAGACCTCAAGAAATTAGATTGGCCGTCAGTACTTCAGGATTGATCAATAATCAGATCTATACCATAGTTTGTGAACTCTATAACTTTCCTACAAACTAAAAAATACATCCTAATTTGGGTTATTTTCACCAAAGACATGTAGCAGAATACATCTCGGCCTAAATTTATGAAGAACAATTATTTATTTGTAAATTTTTATAACGGAAACAAAGAAAAACGTGTATTTTTTTCAACATTTTTGGCCTTTTTTTGTTAATTTAGCTAAAAAAAATAAAAACCCCAGCGGTGATTAAATACCACCAAAAGAAAGCTCTAGTTGTGTGAAGAAAATGATAAAATTTTATTTTGGGTACAGTGTTGTATGACTGCGCAATTGTCATTCAAAGTGTGAGAGCGCTGAAACGTGAAAAATGGCCTGGGCAGGAAGGTGTAAAATTGCACGGTATTGAAATGGTTAAATACCAGCAAAAGAAAGCTTTATCTGTCTCAAACAAATTATAAAAACTTCATATTGCTACAGTGTTGCATGACTCAAAGTGTGACATCAGTGAAAGCTGAAAATTGGCCTGGACTGGAAGAGTGTTCTCCCTTTTGGCATTCTAAAGGTGATATTATATTTTTATGCCATTGTAATGACTAACTTCTGCTTTCAGATAATTACTGGATTATAGGGCAGCCTGGTAAGCAGAGATTGTTCTACTATGATGAGACAAGAAGATGAATGTGGTGAGCAGTGCTGGGACAATGCCCAGGGTGAAGATGTCAAGCTGTGCACCCCCTCTCTTGATGTGATGCCCCTGACTGTCTTCTACAGCTGGGATCTATGATAATAACCCTACAGTGCAGGTTCTGCCTGTCTGACAGTTGCAAAGTGTAAAAAAAAAACACTGGCACAAACAATGTACCTCACCACTGGAGACATCACTGCTACTCTGCTTGGGCTCCTCCTGTCAGGTACGGCAACCTCCAGGTAGCAGAGAGGGTCAGTAAAGGATGGAAAGAGTGAGAGCAAGCTTTCAGCTTGGCTGAATGTACTCTATGGGCTGCTGACTCATGGCGCTCCCCCACATATACAGACACTGTGCTCAGGGCAGCTGCCGTTCCTGTCCCCCCTTCCCTCCCAGTCCTGGTGGTGACTGAGGAAGAGCACAGTGAGGTTATTTGGAAACTATACCTGAGACTTTTCAGCACTGCTTCTCATGGCCTCCATTAGTTTATCCATTTGATGACCCTGGTCTAGAGCTATTCGAAGTGCATCTTCTGTGCTAACCAAACGGTGTTGCAACTTCAGAACTTCCGACTCTGTGGATGGGTCTATTAATGAGTATCTCCTTTGATCTGTTCCTGCTTTCTCTTTATCCTAATGAACAGGAAAATACCTTTTGTTAAAAAAAATGGTCATAAATACACATTTGTGATGTACAGGCATGGAAGCATCAAATAAGTAATGTATTCTACAGCTAGAATTGCAGCAGTATTTTTACTTGATGCTGTCCAATGTACTGTGATCAAATGCACCATAAGTATTTAAACATTCCAGATGCTTTTTCCATTATTATTCTATAAATCTCATTGATTATTTTACATTACAAACAATTATCAGATTAATAAAACAGAAAACAAGTATAAACCTACATATGTGCAGGGTCAATTTTCAGTGCAATTTCAAGCCCTGTCCAGTGCAAATTTGTTCAGAAGATCAGGTGCGAAGTGGTAAAGTGTGTGACATTGGGAACTGCACCTGAACCAGGCTTAAAACCAACCTGTAAGAAACTGGGCTACCCACTGAATATAAAGGCTGACTCGGAAGGCAGATCCAGAGAAGCTCATGCAGCTCTCCCAGGAATGAAGAGAGACAGACACAAACACCAGGAGGAAGTGCAGAGCTGTCAGGAACCACTAACCCCAGGAAAGGATTGTATTAACCACATGCAACAATAATACGCAAACTTCATCCAAAATGGAAATCAAAGTAATATATTTTCTTGTATAAAATTGTAAGAACTTGTATTGTGCGTTAAAATAATTCAGTAGATAAATAAATTAATGTCATAAACAAACCTGACATTCAAAAAAGTATTTTTTATATGTAGACTTCATTCACTTCAAATAATCAGCTTTTGTGTAAACCTACATAATTAAAGGATGATCTATATCCTATATAATATAAATACAGTATGTAAAAATAGATTAAATAAAATGACCGCATACCAATCCATTGGATAAACAATAGACAAAAATCTTTCCATAGCATGAAAGCAATATGAAAGAAATGAGAGGCTAATGGAGTTTGTGAAAAAAAAAAAAATCATCTTGTCAAAAGTAGACAATGTATCAAAACAACAAGGTATCCTATTAATAAAATAAAATGAATACATGATAAAACAGCAGCAGTATTATAGAGCTGTATGGATGTAAACCTGACCTGTTAAGAGCTGAATATAGTCCCTTACCGCTAATGAAAGGTTTTCTGTCTTGTGCAAGTGTGAGAACTTTTAGATTCACAAACTAGATACCATGTCCCCAAATGGCCTGAGGCTAGGTTCACATCTGTGCGGGTGGTGCCGCTGCACCACCCGCACATAGAAATGCGGACCTGCGGGTGCGTGCCATTAGTTCTAATGGCACGCTGCCTGCACTGGAAAACGCAACCGTACTGGGAACCGAGGTTCCCATGCGAGCTGCGTTTTCCAAAGAAGTGCAGGGACTTCTTCCCTGCATGTCACGGGGCACGGGAGTCCATTCAAATGAATAAGCTCTCGTGTCCGTGTAAAACGCGGCCTGAGCGGCCGCATATATGTGAACCGGGGGTCAACGAAGATCCCAAAATTCACAGTCTAATATAACTGTGGCTGCACATGGATATGCATTCACATATATAGGCGTGTGCGCATGGATGCCAGTATATACATTGGTCCCTCCTTTTTTTCTTTCTCCCCCTTTTTTATTGTTTTTCATTCCCCTCCCTTTTTTAAAAACAATTGTTTGTCATAGGTTTATATTTGAGTGTACATATGTTGTGTGGAAATCAGTTATATGATGTATGCAAATTTTTTTTCTTTATATATTGAATAAGTTAGTTTTAACAAAATTGGGGCATCATGGGTTTTAAACCTAAAGTTATTTTTAGTCTTTTCATCCAATTATGGTTCAATCACACATTACATTGGTTAGATATAATGTGAGTGACTATAACATTATAAATATTTTTCTATTATATTATTATTTTATTTTCTTGTATTAATATAGCGGTATAGTCATCTAATTCTTAAATTAAAATTGTTTTTAATTAATTCACATATTGTGCCCACTGGTAGTTGATTGGCCTATCTTAGGGTCAGGGAATGTGCAAGAAGATGGTTGTGTTTCCGGTTAGCACATCAGGATTTGACAAAGTATCCCGAAACATGTTATCCTGGCAACTGGCGTAGCTATTGACTCCCTGGTGCACTCCAGTAGTCCATGTCGTGCAGATGATGACTTTTTTGATTTCAGTAATGCCATTTCTGGTGCCGGGAGTTCCTCCACATCCCTTGCTGCAGCCAGCGGTCTCCTGTCAATGATTCAATCTGTCATCTCAGCTAGATTGGCACATTCCGTCTATCTTCAGCCTGGGTCTATCCACCAAGCGGTACACTGTGCAGCACTATGTAAGACTTTTGATGGTTAATTCAATAAATTATGGTTTGAACTGGACATTCTGACTCGTGGATTTATGGACTTTGGATCTACCAGTATTTAAGCCTGCTCAATATAGCTGACTCCACAGAACGGTCTTATGAGAATTACCTGGAGCACCTATCCAGTGTGTTTTTGACTATTGTGTTTGGCCCACTGTCCCAGTGGTCATTCTGAGGTTGCCTGAATTTGCCCAAACACCTGGCATTGTACCTTTTTCTGGCTGCTGATATATATCCACATGTTGGTGTTGCAGCTCAGCACCCCACATTTTTTCATTTTACTTTTAAATAATGTAAATGAATACATGATAATGGATGATATGTAGATTGAACATAAAAAATAGAAAGATATCATTAGAAATAAGAGATGTCCAACAAACTTATGTACATGTTAAAATGTGTGTGCACATGTACGCATACATGCAACCATGTGCATGTATATCTACAACGATCTTCACGGTTGACAATGATCAGTAATGAAACTGGTGACAATGTTGTAAGGAAAAATGCTGGACAGTGAGACAAAAGATTGTGTCACCATTGAGCCTTGTGAATTACAAACGCAATCGCCTGGGTAATTGGTCAGATTATGCTGCCAGAGGTTGCTCCCAGTGTGAGGACTACAAAATGGTTTTTCATCAAGTTCCTCTTTGAGACCATTGGGAGACATGGTGTGTAGTTTAAAAATCCAGTATGTCTCTCTGGCACACAAGGATTTAAAATGTTTGTCTTCCGGCAGAGAGGCAGAAATTGATTTAATTACATGAACGCTCAGACAATCTGGGTTTTTATCATGATGCAACAGTGTCTGGAGATACTGAGTTTGGGCAAACCTTTCTCTACATTTCTGCAGTGCTTGCCAAAGCACGCCCAAAGTGATCTTATAGTTCGGGCCATGTACTTAATACCACAAGAGACACTACCCACCTTGTGCAAATCTGGTGCATCTGTGCATGGTAGCCAATTAGCCTCAAACTTCAGTCTTGTTTAATTAGGCTTAGACAATAAAACCTGGAAGCTGATTGGTTTCTATGCAGAGCTGCCCCAGATTTTGCACTCTTCAGTTTCAGTAAATCAATCACTGCACATGTTGATATTTCCTGAAATCTTTGGAGATAATACTTTCCTGTACTATGCTATATATCATTGTTCCCATCTCTTTCTGTGAACTACAAAACATCTCTCCCCTATGTTATGGAAAAGAGGGGTGTTCTGCAGTCTTGTGCTAGGATGACATTACTACTGCTCCATACATACAGTGCAGTCAGCAAGCATTCTTACACTAGGACAGAAAGTGTTACTGGCAGGAACACCAGGTGAAAATAAAGGAAAAAAAAAGCTTGAAAAAAAGAAAACTAATGCAGCAATCATATGGACTGGTAAACAAATAAATATAATGTAGTGCAACAATAATGCATTATTAACATAAGACATAAGTCCCAAGAGAGTCTTTTATAGCTGTGTTATGAAATACCACTGTGCAATATGTGCCATTATAATTTTGCTGATTTTGGGCGGTACTTTTGTAGACTGGCGACTCAGCGGTTGTAAGCAGCGGCAGCTGTCGGATTAGGTTGTGTCTGGGCAGGAACAGAATAAACTGCTTTGACATTGGTAGCATAGAGTGGGCTGCAAAAGTATCCATAATATATAATGCATGAGAACGCCAGAGGGAGGATTTAATTTGCACAGCAGTCTCAAGAGGAAGATTGTATGAAGATTATACCAGGTGTACACAGGTGTATACATTATGATGTGATGAGCGTACCTTGACCTGTTCATGAGGTCTAAGGTGAGGTGGCATGTTTTTCACCTGGTTGGTGAAGGCACATTTGGCACATACACAGATTGAAGATTATAATGCAACATTTTGCACAGTGGTGTTTCATCACATGGCTACAAAAGACTTTATTTAATACTTGTTAATAGGACATTATTGTTGCGCTACATTATATTTATTTGTTTATCTTTATGAGGTGTTGTGAAATCACTAAGGCTCAAGTCACACTACTGCGACCTGAAAGTCACCCAATTTACACTGCAAATTTGCCAGGAGATTTCCTGGCAACTTGATGCGACCTGAGTACGACTTTGATATGACTTCATACAGGACTTTGCTATGCGACTTTGCTATTTTTTTTACCAATTGGAAAAAAGATTGGGGGGATCTGGGGGCACCCTTGTTAAAGGGGGCTTCCAGATTTTAAGAAGTCGACCCCCTCCCCGCAACCCAGGGTTGTGGGGAAGAGGCCTTTTTTCACATCAACATTGGGGCAAGGAACTTTGGGGGGGAGCCCCCCTCCCTCAAAGCACCCCCCCCATGTTGAGAGCACGTGGCCTGATACGGTTCGGGGGGATGATCGCTTGTTCCCCCCCTTTCCTGACCTGCCGGGCTGCATGCTCCCATAAGAGTCTGGTATGGACCCACTGACAGCTTATCAGTCATCGGTTGTTAAGAACACGACGGCGGGCTTCCTGGCTCGCTCCTTAGTGACCATTTACACAGAATTCTGATTAGTCATTCAATTTTCGACCAATTCAAATCGCAATCCTTCCAAAAATGTGGATTTAGGTAGAAATTCAATCAACAAAATTAAATTTAACAAAAAAAATTATATTTTCCAATTGGTCAAAAAAAAAAAAAGTGTGTCGGATCCAAATCACATCAATATAGATGAGGATTCGACTTGGAAACGACTTCCATTAAAGTCTATGGTCACAAGTCAGATAGAAGTTACCTTGAAGCCAGGGGCGGACTGACCATTTGGAAACTCAGGCACTGCCCGAGGGCCCAGGGTCAGTAGGGGGCCCATGAGATGCCCCTGGTACCTTTTTCATAGGCTTTTTTTTTTTGAGTTTGGGCAAGGACACAGGGGCCCCATGATCCCCTATTGCCCGGGGGCCCCATGAGTTGTCAGTCCGCCTCTGCTTGAAGCAGTACAGGAACATTTTCTAAAGTTGGAGTCAGTGCTAATTAAGACAGCACTCATGACTAACATGGGTTTTCACATGTTGTGCGACTTGGGGTCTCACAAGTTGGATCCCAAGTCGCAGGGGTGTGAACCGAGCCCAGCACAGTGTTTTAGCAAGCAACAATTTATCTATTAAGTATTGTTATTGATTTATGTGGGTATATTGAGGCTGCACTGACTGAATAGGGTTTTAAACATATACTGGTAAGCTGCAATGTAATAAATGTTTGTTTTCGGGTTAAAATATGCTTTCAGTTGTATGTATTCTATTCTTATAATCCGACTCCACCACAACACTTTTCTCTAGTGAAAGCAGTGTTCACAAATTTTTGGAAGTATACCACTATACCCACTAAATCATTTTATGTTGTTTCCAACCAAAACAAGCCACCCATTTTGATTTTCAGGTTAGAGTAATGAAATGTTAATTTGTGTGGACATTTTTCAGTTGCTTTCAACTTATTTTTTTAAATAAATCGAAAAGGAAATGACTAAACACTCTGGAATGTTTAATACTATTTTAAAAAGGTACAGAATGGTAGAATTAAACTTTTATTTCAATATTTTTGGACATGCAAAAAATTGACTTCATAGAAATTCAGTGGAAACCAATGCTAACTGCAGCTGAGTCAAAGAAAACAGAAAATGCACACGTTGCGTGTTTAAATTAAAAACGAAACAAAGAAAAATCTAAAAACTAAATACTAATCAAAAATTGGTGAAAGCCGCTTTTAGAAAATTTTTAATACTCACCAAAGCCGTTAATTTTTCTCTAAGTACTTTGATTTCTTCTTTTAATTTTTGTTCTTTTGATCTCCAATCTGCCTTATGGACCTCCCGACTTAGGTCTTTCTCAGGTCCTGGTGAATGCCGAGTGGCTTCAAGTAATAAAGCTCTCAGCTCATTGAGACTTCTACAGTACAATAGCAAAGTAAAAAAATGCAACAAGTTACTTATTTTAGTCTTGCCTGGAATTAATAAAACATTTAGAACATTATGTAAATGGTTTCCACGGTAGGAATGTACAGTATATAAAGGAAAGAGTATGATATACAGTGCCTTGAAAAAGTATTTATACCCCTTAAAATTTTCCACATTTGGTGATAGACCAACACAACGTCACACATACAGTTATTATGAAGTGGAAGGAAAATGATAAATGGTTTTCAAAATTTTTTACAAATAAATATCTGAAAAGTGTGGTGTGCATTTGTATTTAGCCCCCTTTACTTCCTAACTGAAATCTAGTGGAACAAATTGCCTTCAGAAGTCACCTGATTAGCAACTCAAGTGTTGGTCTATTACAGGAGTCTCAAAACTTTCTAAATAAAGGACCAATTTATTGTGCTTCAGACTTTAGAGGGACTGGACTGTGGCCAGCCAGAGTGGTAAATTTCCTGCCATCAGTGGCAGTAAACCCACCATATTTGGTATTAGGGGGAGGAATATTGCCCCATTGGTATCATTGGTAGGAATAGTGCCCCACTGTTGGTGTCAGTGGGAGAAAAGGTGTCCCATTGTTGATGTCAGTTGGCAGAATAGTGTCTCATATCAGTTGGAGGAATAGTGCCTCAAGGGCCAGATAAAAGCAAGCAAGCAGATATCTATATATTTTTAAATAAATGAAACCAGCATTTTCCAAATTGTAGATAATCTAAACAAAATGGCAGGAAATGTCCTTAATGTTTGTTTTATTTTCACAGAGGTTCAGGGTTTATGAGCAGAACTGCACTATGAGATGGTATGTTCACTGTTTTTACAAAAGTCCACAGCAGATTATAATTGGGCTATGCTACATTATTAAGCAGACTGGAAGCATCTACTTTTAGGAATTCAATGGCTGTAGCTACCGTATATTAACACGCAAAACATTTGACTAGATGCTAGCTTTCTCCAAAAGTACAGTGATTATGTAAGTCTTAGAAAATTGGAAATGCATGTTAAACCTCTTCAATAGATACAAGGTAATATCTGATTGGATGACTTGGAAATTGTGAAGTCCCTCCCACCTCTTCACCTCATCCATTCAGAGTAAGCCTGGTTTTCATTTAAAAAAATATTAGGTATTTTCAATGTCAGTGACAGTTGCCAATAGAACAAACAGACGGATGAATCTCCCCAGTGGGACAGAGACAGCAAAAATAACTTGATTATTACTCTACTCCACTTAATGCAAAACTGAAGAAAAAAGTTATATATGTGTATACATACATTTTAAAATATCATCATAATTCATTTAAAGCGGTTCTAAAGGCAGAAGGTTTTTTTACCTTAATGCATTCCATGCATTAAGGTAAAAAAACCTTCCTCAAGCAGCTATCCACCCAGCCCCCCTAATATGTACTTGAGCCTGATCTCAATGCAGAGATGTGCATATGAGCAGAGGCTCTTTCGGTGCTCTCTCGCCTCACTGGCTCAAAAACAGCAGCGGAAGCCATTGGTTTCTGCTGCTGTCAATTACAGCCAGTGAGGAGGGAGCGGGATGGGGGTGCGGTTTTAGGAACACACAGAGCTGGCTCGGGAGTGAGCATGCTGGAGTGCCCCCATAGCAAGCAGCTTCCTATGGGGGCATTCGGCAATACGGAGGGGCCAGGAGTACCAGTGGGGGACCCCAGAAGAACAGCATCGAGGCTGCTCTGTGCAAAACCATAGTAGATACGTATGGTATGTTTGTTATTTAAAAAAAATGAAAACCGAATCTTCAGAATCACTTTAATGTTACTTACCTTTCTTTTTTTAGCAAGTCTTGGCTGATCAAGACAAACTGGCCTGATGCATCATGAGATTTCCTAGAAAAAGCTTCTAGTTCCACTTCTAGCTTCTTATTGTCCTTTACTAATGAATCCATCTTCTTGTCTCCTGATTTACATTTACTCTCCAGTGCTGTCGATCACAGTAATTACAGTTAAATAAAATAATATTTCTGTTTATTATATTAAATGCATTGAGCTAAATTCACAAAAGAGTATAGAATGTTCATGTAGCTAACTGAATAAGGTGAAACCTGTGTTCACTTTAGAAACTCAACCATGTTCAAAGGAATCAACAAATTAATTACACTTTTGATATGACTGTCTGTTGTGTACCTTGGTAGACGATGGATAAGGTTAGATGGGTATTTGGCACACTCAGCAGAGGCTGGGGTGGGCATTACAGCAATAATATATAGTCGAAGAATAAATAAAAACAATCAAGGGAAAGTCCATATGATCCAAGCGTCAGTCAAATACGATATGATTCCAACAGTGCTTGAGCCAGAGGCTACCAGCTTCTGAAGAGCTAGAAGGGACTCTGGAGAAAACACTTGATGAAAGAAGCGGTGCCATCTAAGTGCAGCATTCATTAAACAATTTATTGAAGATTAAAAATGGCAACTCACAAGAAGGTTGTGATAAAGTGCTAGGTATGAATACAATCGTCAGAGGACAATTCTACTCAACCCTAGTGCTTTATCACAACCTTCTTGTGAGCTGCCATTTTTTATTCTCAATAAGTTGTTTAATGAATGCTGCACTTAGATGGCACCGCTTCTTTCACCATATGTACCTTGGTAGACCGTTGCTCCTAGGCAAACAAGCTAGGCTGGCCAAAAACCAACAGTAACTGGCTGAAGTTTGACCAGTGTGTGGCCACCCCCGCACATATCAGAAACGTTTTACAGCAATCATTACCTTCAGCCAACAATCAGTGTATTCTGACAGTGGTGGGTGCCACAGTCAGAATACAATGTCCCAGAGGGGGGATTCACCTCGTTCTTTTGGATGGAGGAATCTGTTCATTTCATCCCGCTGGCTGAACAAACAAAAAAATAACAGTGTATGGCCAGCCTTAACAAGGGCACCTACTCCCAGCTGGGGTTATTGGGAGCTTTTTCAAGCACTGGAATAAAAGTGTGAATATCCCTGTTTTTATACCAAGAGTACAGGAGTAGAGGCCTGTCTCCTAGGCAGGTTGGAAGGTACATATTTGAAAGCAATTAATCATGCATCTTTTGTAGTTCTCCTAAAAAAGTCCAATCATATAAAATGTACTTGAGGTACGCTTAAGACCATATCAGAGAATAAGAATACTGCTTATTACTAATAAATTACCATACTAATTATTAGAAAGTATAATTATAGCTGAGTATCCAATCTTGTTTGAGATGGGATCCTTCCTTCTCCCCTGTCAAGGTTTTTTTCCATAATATACTATAGCCACACAAAGCTAAATAGAACAAAGTGCCTCCTGATACCAAAATAATCATGGTAATTTAAAGCTGAACTCTGGGCACAAAAATTTTCAAAGGTTTGCCTTTGCACACCACGTCATTACCTTGAAAATGTAGTGGTGGCATAATCACTGCTGTACATAGCCTGTGCAGAAAGCAGTGCTGTGGGAGGGACCCAACAAGTCCACCCACTACAGGCTACTTGCAGAAGACTACCGGAGGGAGTGGAGACAAGACCAGTGACCCTGCACAAGGAGAAGGAGCTGCAGTGATCAGTCTTTATTACAGAAAGTTCCTGCACAGAAGCAAAGTTTAACACTGAATTGCTGGACTGATGTGGAAGAAATACACAAAGCACACCCAGATTCCCGAAAAATACACATGACTTGTATTTAGACATTTTTACTTATCCCAGAGTTCAGCTTTAAACACATTTTCAAATTTGTACAGTACACTACTGCAGAATTTTCTCTGCCATGCCACAAAATACCAATAGCCATACCATTGATTTGAGCCCTAAGTGATTCGATATGTGTAGACATAGAGGATACTTCTCTGTCTCGTTTGTTAAGCTTCAGCTGTAAATCTACATGGAAAGCAAAAAAGAGAAAATAGGGAAATTTGAAAGAAAACTGAATAAAAATATTAACAGTTTCAGACTCCTTTAAACAGTATATGCCTATAGGTAAAACAGATTTTCAATGTCTGAAGACAGTTTTGCAACTTCAGCATATGTTAGTAAAACTGTACATATCATTGCAGCTACTTAGTTGTTTAAGGTAAATTACACTTTGGGGGTTTTTTTTCAGAAGAAATTGGGCTTCATTTGGTGGTAAATGTTAATGGATATCTCCTAATTTGTTACTATCAAAGGAAAACTGGTACAAAATATTTTTAAAAAATATAAATGTAACAGCATATTTCTTGTCATTACCATGACCATGACCCACCACCAAATAAATCCCAAAGTACATTCTCCTACTCCTGACATTTGTGGTGTTACCATGTGTACAATAATGGACATTTTGTTTTTTGAGGTTTTTTATGGTTTGATTTTTGTTTTTTTAATCTTACCTAAAACATACGGACCTTTGACACGAATTCTGACATTTGACCTTTACTTTGCCTTTGGACCCTGCCGCTGACACTAACATTGATAAAGCCCTGATCTAGCTATTTTATCTGTTATGGTTATATATTAGTATTTTTTTTACATTCTTCTCCTTTAGCTAGAGAAAGCAATATATATCTTTCTCCATTTGGAAAGAGAATGACAATATAGGAGTGGGTTATGCAAAGTGACCACTGTGACAACCAATCCCAAGCTATAACAGCAATTATGTGATTGGGAGCTGGTCCTCATGGCTCCTGATCATTAGTATGAGACCCAGGGCTGTTGGCTTGGTCTCCGTGCTGGGAGAATGTCATGGACAAACGCTGATGCACATATGGGTAGTGCCTTGGAATAAGGTACACTTCCAGGACACCACATATACATGTTATACCACTGACAGTGAGTCAGTATGTATAGCCACAAATTTCATTTTAGATTTGGATAGCATGGGGAAGGCTTACAGCTCCTGTCAGGGTTTTACTACTGTCCAGGGCTCAATTAAGAGAGAGTTCCCCTCATTTCTTGTATCGGGGACAACCTTTTCACCAGACAAGTGAAGCCAATGAGGAGAGCGCAGGGGGCCAAGCTGCACTCTGTATGTCAATGGACACAGAGAGCAGCAGCTCAGGAGTGAGCCTGTTCGGGTGCCAGAGGGGCCAGGAGTGCCAGTGGGGGACATGGGAAGAGGAGGATCCGGGCTGCTCTGTGTGCAAAACCACTGCACAGAGTGAGTAAGTATGACATGTATGTTATTTTTAAACAAAAAAAACTGCCTTTAATATCACTTTAAATAGGGAAAGGCTAGAACTCCTGTCAGTTTTTCTATTGTTGTCTATTTTACTGTTGTGGATTTTCCCTCGCTTTCTGTCTCGTAAAATGCTGTCCCCAAAAAACAGAAAGTTAGAGAAAATCTCTCAAATGGAGCTGCACCTAGAAATAAAACCGAACCCCTCCCCAATCTAAAAATTAGAAAAAAAAGTTTTGTCTATAGATATACTTTAACTCATTTTTATTTGTAATACTTAACTGAACCTCTAAAAAAATTATGTCAAATTTGCACGCAAATGCAAAATAAATCTCATGTGAGTTGTTCTATTTATTGCATATAGGTTTTGCATCACTTTAGTGACTTCTTATACACAGTATACTAAGTCAGTGCATGCATAGTCAATAGGACAATATAAACTGTATATAAAATCATAATCTAAAAAACAAATTGCTACAGTAGAGAGATCCAGTACAGTCCACTGTATGAACAAGAATGGGTAAGCAATGACAGGTGTACATCTCACATGGGATGTCTTGGATTGCATATTGACTTTGTGCCCATTACAAGGAGCTAATGACCTTCACTATAGCTGGCGAGAATCAAGTTACTTTGTACAAAACCATTAAAAAAAAAAAAAACTAAATGGGGGGATCTAGCTTGAAACTGATGAATGCATTATTTCCACTGAGCATTTAAATGAAATATCCATTTCAATTTAAAGTGAAATAAATTGTCAAGAAAAGGCATAAATCAAAATAGTCCACAAAAAAGGCAAAAATATTTTAGCTATTGTATAATTTTCATTTAAGCTGTATATGACATTTCCAGATTGTGAATCCTAGATCTGAAGTAGATTCTTTCTGCTTTGTAATGCTATAGGTCTATCATTATACACCTGATTTTAGGTTTTTAAAAAGTGTTAAACCTAGTTTTAAAATAATACCAGGCATGAAACATTGTAGAGGATAAAGTGAAATAAAAAAGGAAAGGGTTATTGGGGGAATAATGCTGAAAAGACATGTCCATACAGCCCAACTTTACTCCAAAGTATTTATTTCTTAATCACTTGCTGTCCTGGGCATTTTTAAAATTTTTCACTCATATGTTAAAAACAGCATTATTTGCTAGAAAATTACTTTGAACCCCCAAACATTATATATTTTATGAAAGCTGAGGTCTTGTAGAATAAAATGGTGGCAGATGCAATTTTTATGTCTCACGATATTTAAGCAACTGTCTATCAAATGGAGATTTTCAGGAAAAAACACACTAAAATTAATTTTAGTACACACAAACACAATATAATACCCAATTTTTGGTTTACACCAAGTAAATACTGTAGATGCTAACTATGTCATGAAAACTGTGTGCATCTGAGAAATGGCGACAAACTACAGTAAGCTATTTTATTCATAGATGATGCATTATTCATTGTAGAATTAAACGTGAATGATAGACCTAGAATTATTGCTCTTACGTTCATGGTGAAGCTTCACATGTGCGGTATAATCATTGTTTTCATATGTGCGCAGGACCATTTGTGTGAGTTTGTATTAGTGTGTATGTGTAGGGGGGTGGGGGTGCTTTTTAATTTTTTTACTATTGTCAGTTATTTTTGTAGCACCTCCCCCTTAGGAGTTGCTGAGTTTTTGGGTCCCCCTATAGTTCTGCACAGCTAGGCAACACGCATTTTCTTTCTCCAAACTTGCACATGGGAGACAGTAACCAGTTCTTAGGCTTGGATGGGGTGAAGGGATGTCTGGGATGCCCAAGGGAACTGTAACTGAGGACAACTCCTGAACAAATATGTACAAGTCTCTGCAGTAGATCTCTTCTTGCAGAGCTCTACAGCCTCTCCTGGTGTACCACCCCAGATGAATCCACTTCTCATCCAGCTGTACTAAGGGAATCCTTGAGCAAGGGGTCACAGAACCTGTCACTTTAAGTGCACAGTCCCAGATGGCGGCTAGTCAGGTTTCCCACCAGAATGCAGTTACATAGTTAGTCTGGCTGACAAAAGACAAAAGTCCATCCAGTTCAACCATTAAAAAAAAAAAAAGAAGTTATAATCCTATACCCACAGTTGATCCAGAGGAAGGCAAAAAAATCCAGCAAAGCATAATCCAATTTGCTCCTGCAGGGAAAAAAAATTCCTTCCTGATCCCCCAGGAGGCAATTGGATATTCCCTGGATCAACTTTACCTATAAATGTTAGTATCCAGGTATATTCTGTGTATCTAAGAAAGAATCCAGGCCTTTTTTAAAGCAATCCACTGAGCTGGCCAGAACTAACTCTTGAGGGAGTCTATGTCACATTTTCACAGCTTTTACTGTGAAGAAACCTTTCTGTATTTGGAGATTACAGATCTTTTCCTCCAGACGTAGCATGACTCCTTGTCCTCTGTGATGACCTCAGGGTGAATAGCTCTGCACCGAGTTCACTATATGAACCACTGATGTTTTTTTACATGTTGATCATATCCCCCCTTAATCTCCTCTTCTCAAGAGAGAATACATTCAGTTTCTCTAATCTTTCCTAATAGCTGAGCTCCTCCATGCCTCTTAACAGTTTGGTTGTCCTTCTCTGTACTTTCTCCAGTTCCCTAATGTTCTTTTTGTGAATTGGTGCCCAAAACTGAACTGCTTTTTTCATATGAGGTCTTACTAATGATTTGTACAGGGGTAATATGATATCTCTCTCTCTGTAGTCTATACCTTTTTTAATACAGGAGAGGATTTTGCTCGCTTTAGAAGCCGCAGCTTGGCATTGCATGCCATTATTAAGCTTGTGATCTACCAGAACTCCCAGATCCTTTCTCCACCATTGATTCCCCCAGTTATACTCCCCCCTAGTATGTATGATGCATGTATATTCTTAGCCCCCAAGTGCATAACCTTACATTTATCAAAATTAAATCTCATTTGCCACATAGTTGCCCAATTAAACAGTACATTGAGGTCGGCTTGTAAATTGGAGACATCCTGTAAGGACGTTATTCCACTGCACAGCTTGGTGTCATCTGCAAAGACTGAAATGGGATTTTTAATCCCAGACCTTATATCGTTTATAAATATATTAAAAAGTAAGGGTCCCAACACTGAACCTTGGGATACACCACTGATGACCCCAGACCATTCAGATTATGAATCATTAACCACTACTCTTTGAATACGATCTTTTAGCCAGTTTTCTATCCATTTACATATGGATTTTTCCAAGCCCGTAGACTTTACCTTACACATTAGCCGTGTGTGGGGAACTGTGTCAAACGCTTTTGCAAAATCCAAGTATACTATGTCCACCGCCACCCCCTCATAAAAAGAAAACAAATTTGTATGACAGCTTCTGTCTTTCATGAATCCATGCTGCCTGTTGCTTAAAATATTTTTTTCCAGCAAGAACTCATCTATGTGGTCTTTTATTAAACAATCCAGTATCTTCCCAACTATAGAAGTTAAACTAACAGGTCTTTAAATACTTGGTATTTAAATATTGGCACAGCATTGGCCTTACCCCAATCCAGTGGTACTGTGCCAGTCATTAACCTCCCTGGCGGTATTCCCGAGTGTAGCTTGGGGTAAAGTTTCAGTACCAAAAGCGGTAACCCCGAGCTACACTCGGGCTTACCATGCAGCGTCCCCGGCCATCTCCTCCGGCCGATGCCAGCATCTGGCTTCCGTGTTCGGTCCCTGTGATGTTGGG